TGCTTTATAAATTTATTCTCGTTCGAGAGATATTAATATCTTTCGTGGGTTTAATTATTTCATATTATTTACATATATCCTATTCAACTGATTGTACTGAGAATAAACAAATAAACGAATATGAGAACTACGCAGATAATTCCACTTGCGTAGGGATCGGCTTTCAGTTTAAATTAAATATCTCAGGCTCGCGTCGCGTTTGCATGTTTTCTACATAAATCGCACTGGAAAAATCTTATTAGGTAAAAACGGCGCAAGAAGAATAATGCCTAAAGGATGTACTCAATTGTTCTTAAATGAAATTGTATTTTTCCTTTCTTAAAGCGGTGTACCTATTTCCATCATTGGACCTTGGGATGTAAACTGGGGGATTTAAGTTTTCCCTCTATTATCGAAATGGAAAAAGTTTTCAGGCAGGTTCTACGAATTTTAAGGGACAGTTTATTATGATCTAGAGCATTTTTTCAAGCCGTTATTTTAAGGATATTGTCTCTTACTAAAACTTACTGAAGTTTGTTCAAAATACTAACTTTCTTTTTTATAATATACAGGGTGTTTCAGTTCGAATTAATCAAACTTTAACCACAAATAGAACTCAATAAAATAGAATTTCCTTATAGTGATGAAGGTGAGACTTAGACCCTTGCTTTATAAGGCAATTTTGAATTATTTATTGAATTCTATTTGTGGTTAAAGTTTGATTCACTCGAACTGAAACACCCTGTAGTACACATACTGATGTATACTAAGTTTTATACTAAATTACAAAAAAAAATCCTCTTCATTAGATATTATTGTTGTCATTGTATAAAGTGCATTCCAAAGTAAGCAAGATTTTTTAAAAATAAGAACAATTTTTTTAACCAGAATAATGAACAAATACAAAACACAAACTTGTGTCGAATAAAACAAAACTGTAACTTTTCACAAACTTTTTGAAGACAGGCGTGTTTTGCGACAGTTGGAGTTTTGTTTTTCGGATCCTGCTCGAAAGCGGTCACATCAAAAGGTTTCGACGTGTTTTTAAACTCAAGTCTGTTTAGTGGAAACAGTCGTGTTATGTTTTCTGTTTAAGTGATCCAACCCAATATCTATGTTGGCGTTTTCTTCTTCCCAAAAACAATATTTTGATCATTAATGAATTATAGCTATTAAAAAACATATATGTGTACGGTTAAAGTGTTTACTTGGCTAGGATACAAACTAACCAAGTAAACACTTTAACCGTACATATACCACGAATTCCATCGATGGATATCTGGGAAACCGCTCGAAGGATTTTTTTGAAATTGTGATGGCGTGATACGGACTGTGGAGCCTACCAAGCTAAAATATTTTCAAGGTCATCGTGTTTCCGGTTATACCGGAAGTTGATACTAACAATCTTATTTTAAATGGAACCCCCTGTATATTAATGCAAAAAAATTAGGGGTTTCCATTTAAAAATTTCGAGTTTTCCACATATTCTGAACTTCATACTCGATAAATATTTGTTGACCAAATTGTCATGTCAAATTCGATAAAGTAGGTATTTCTCCACAAAATGTCCAATTTACACAAAAAAATAAACTGGGAAAACTAATTTTTGCTGACGGTCTGCATCTGTCAATTTTTGTTTAAAAATCGAAATATTTCGGAAACGGTCAATCCTAAGTATGGAGTGTGCTATACAGTTTTCAACTTAAAAATGGATGATGTTTCCAAAAATGCAATAATATACAGGGGGTTCCATTTAAAATAAGAAAGTTAGTGATGCCCTTGAAAATATTTTAACTTGGTGGGCCCCACAGTCCGTATCACACCATCACAATTTCAAAAAAATCATTAGAGCGGTTTCCCAGATATCCACCGATGGAGTTCAACATGGGACACTCTGTAGACACACTTTTTTCCAAGGATTTCAGTATAAACCAGCCATAACTAAGAATAAAAAATCTTCTCTAAACATGATCTACGAAAACAAAGTTAAATAAAAACTATAAAAAATAAAAAAGATATATTGGGTGATAGATTCTCCGGTTACCTCTCCCTTTTACAGTGGTCGTATTTTTTTTAAAACGGGTAGCAACATTGAAAAGATCGTTTTATTTAAAAAAAATATTGTCTCTTGAGAAAATCGCCTACAGAAAGCCATTCTTGTCATTATTGTCGTATTTCTTGAGGATTCTCATCAGCATCATACAAATTTTGCTCGAATTTTGGGACACCCGGTCTAATAATAGTACGAAATATCTAGTATTTTCTGGGACGTAAAAATGATATTACACAATGTAGCCTCGTAAAAAACGTGAATTACAGGGGACACCTCAAAGGAATCAAGTTGAACGAGCCATCATCGTTCAAAATGACTTGTCCCTTTTATTCAGATGCGACAATAAAAAACCCTCGCTCTCATAAAGGGGCAAATTATAGCGCGCGATGTGTAGAAAAGTGCTAGAAATATACCACGTTTCAGTGTACGATATTCTTGTAACATTTATGATATGGCTTGCCAAAAGGCAATAAATAACTCTTTTGTTAACATTGTGAAGTATTACAGGCTTTGGTCATTTATCCAAGTACGTTGTTTTACAATAATTTATATGTTGACATTAAATTGTTTTTCTGGAGAACCTTTATGTCTGAAAATAAACAGTTGAGTTGATTTATAATTTTATTTCTAAATTCCAAGGTATTGTAACCCAATATTTGTTGTATTTGGTTTGAAATACATCTCTTCACAATTTTATTTCAGAGACACAAGAAACCTATTAGCTTGAAATGCTACCAAGACATTCCATCTCGCAGTAATTCCCTTCTTAACATCTCACTTATATCGTGTTATATCCCTTCGGTTAACGATTGTTTCTCTTTCGAACTTTTCCCCGGCTGTCGAGAGGCAAACCGAAAAGTTTTTCTTAATCAAGAATTGACACAAAAATTCACTTCTCTCTCGGTCTGAGCTGTAGAGCTAGGGTAGAAGCAGGATTAGCTGATGATTGAGTATCTACACTTGAGGGGTTGGAGAGGGTGAATTTGAGTTTAAAACAGTTTCATCAGGCGTTACTTCTGTTGATATTTTTGCTCTCTAGAAGAATTTTAATCATGGCAAGGAAAAACTTTGTAAAATCTTTGCAACCAAAGTGATGTAGTAACATTATTTAAACAGTTTCTCTGCTTATGGTGTTCAAAAATATGTTTCGCTATTTAAAAAAATTGTTCGCCCAATCAACTGAGATATGACAAATATTAAGATAAACAGGTCAGGATATTTTTACGTAAAACGGGATAAGCTACAATTTTATTTCATCCGTCTATAATGTAAATTAGGGGCGTACTATTTTTTAAATATTTTCTTGTATGGAAAACGACTGGATTTATTTTTACTTACAAAATATGTGTTTGTTGCTTATTAAAAAGACTACATTTGTCCATAAACAGCGAATTGAGATAAAAGCTAATAAATCTCTGTCAGAACTGAGCCGTAATAAAATGAATAACGTAGAAAATAAGCAATAAATTAGTACAATATATAATAATGTATTCAAAACTCATCCTAAGGCAACAGTATACTAATGTGACGTGAACGTGAAAAGCGTTCCGAGGCAGCGGCTCGCGTATGTCTCGGTAGACCCGTTTGGCACGCCATTGAATTGCGGCTCTCTCTGACAGCCTTACTAATGATGTCGTCCTTACTTAAAATTTAAAAATAGCAGCAAGATTTTTTTTTCGTAAAATACGGAGTTAATAGTGAAATAAGGGGTAGCTTTAAGAAACCAAAGAGATGTGGAAAATCACAAAAGACAAGTAGAAGTACTGAAATGCCAGAAAATGAATAAAATTTTTCTTTGATCGCGAAATTACTGGCATTAATTAACATTATTTGTGCTTACTTCTATTTCTTTTCAAAAAATTTTGTTGTAAGCGTTTTCCAAAAAATATAGATTTTGTGCAGTATTCTTTATTGTTTAAGTTTTTATTTTTATTAGAATTTTTTGTTAAATTTCTTTTTTGAATATTTCTTAAACCTGATTTTTGCGCTCATCTCCTTGACATTTTCTCGCTTCAATTGTATCTGTTACAGAAGCTACCCAAAATATCAAAATTTAGATTTTTAGACAGCCTAAAGGTTTGTCTAAAAAAATGACCAACGTTTATAATACCATCATCATCATGATCATTACATAGTACTTGCAAAGTTTAATAGAACTGGACTATCATATAATTTCTTTCCTTTTTTAAATCATATTTAATAGAGAGATGAAGTTTGTTAAATGTGACGATTTCGGTTCATCAAAATTTTAATTTATGTCTGGTGTTCCACGAGGTTCAAAGTTAGGGCCATGGGTATTCCTCTTGTTCCTTAACGATTTACCTAATACTTTGCTGCAGTCTTTTTGCAGATGTTTAAAAAATATATACAAGTATTGATTGACGAAAATTGTATATATACAATATATTTACAGACTGAGGCCAACCTAATTAACAAATGGTCCAACTTGAACTTAGTATCATGTGCCGCTAGACGAAATAGCGAATCTGCGTATGAGAGAGGCGCGCGCGCGGCTCATAGCGCTTTACTAACAATTAAAAAATCAAGGCTTTAGAATAATGCGAGTCCCAAAAACTCTTCACCATCTTCTAGGGGGGTGTTTAAACTTTAATTTAGGTACCTGGCAACATCAAAAATAACAATTTTTAACCCGGAAATCGGCCTTTGAAAATCGTCATTTTCGCATTTTTAGCAACTTTAAAACTATCAATTTAGAGGCATAGTGCATAGGAACTTTTTTGTTTATAATGTGCCAAAAAATCTAAAAAAAAATTTCCTAAATGAAAAAACCAATTTTTACAATTTGTTTAAACAAATGGGCACCAGATTTCCGGCCGGCATCATCTTGATTCATGTTAAGGAACATCTGACGAATCTGAATATGCAAAAAAATCGAGTCGGAAAATTTCTCCCACGAATGCGAGGTTTTCGCCTTGTCTAAACACCGACACGACAACAACTAACATACCTTCGGAGGATGTTTGCAGGCGGGCCACGTGTCGATTCAGTGCAGCATAGTCGAGGTCTGATGTACGCGCTCTACCCTTCGCGCTGGACCACTCGCTACCCCTTGTCGAAGGGCGACCGGGAATCTAGAGGTTTCGACGGCTACTATCGGCCGCGGGTATCGGCTCGAGCGCGTCGCGACGCGTCGACGGTTTGACGCTTTGCCAGGTCCCGCGCCGCGGGTTTCTTATCGCGAGATTTCGCGCCTGGAGGAGATTTTTTGGGGGATTGGAACAGGAAGTCGCAATTTTGACGTGTCTATTTACCGTTGATAGAAATTAAGAAAGTTTATAAGTTTATATGAGAAATATTCGTTATTTTTTTATTATACAGGGCGTAACTTCGAATAGGGGTCATATTTACCGTTTGTCGACATATTTTTCCCTGTAACATTGAAAGTAAGACCTAAATAAAAAAAGACTTTCTTTATTTTTTGTTTATTTGACGTTTTTCTTTAATGTTACAACAATTGCGAATCAAAAAAGTTGAATTTTGCATTAACAATGGGCGAAAAATAGTTGAAAATCATATGTATATTTGGAGCCATTTTTAAAATAAGTAAATATTTATAAATATTGATGAAACTTTGTGAACAAATAGTAAACATATGTCAATTCCACCCTAAAAATTTTGCAACGATCCATCTCGCGATTTTCGATTGACAGGATTGTTAATTAAGAAAATTTCAAAAATTTCATTGCGTACCGTCAGGTTTATAAAGGGCACACAATTTTTTAGAGATACTTGTTGTCATAATAAACAATGATCAATACTAAAAATTAATATTTTTACACTTTTATAACCATTTAGAATTGTTTTTAAATTTTTCAACATTTTACTCTATAAACAATTATTTATTGCCCAGGGAATTTTCTATGCATAAAAACTACGTCGTATCCCCTTGCTTTTTAGCCAAATACGACAGCATTCTACTGATTTTGATTCTGAGATATAAAAGCGTAAAGTTAATAATAATTTATAGCTTACGTAATCGTGAAGTCAAAAAAAAAAAAATGTTTTTATTGCTAACTACAAGGACTTTCAATATCCGTTTAGTGCATTTTCGGCAGATAACAGCTTAATGAATGAAAAATCAGAAAGGTACCGTGGTCACTGGAATTTCTCGGCAGAGCGGGAGTGGGGACGACTGAGAGAAGCTGTGCTGCCGCGCGCCGCATGAGATTCAAAATACGTATGCGCGATAAAAGATTACTTTTCTCGGGAGCGGTAGGACTTATCAAGACGATTTTTTTTTTAATTTGATATAGCAAAATGAGAGGAATACGAATAAGTCATCAAAAATCAATAAAATAAATATTTTTTGCACGAATTTTGAGTTTAGAGAAGTATGCCACATTCGTTTGCTTTTAAAAAATAGTTACATTATGATAATCAAGTTTTATTAGTTCATCAATGAATCCACGAAACTCACGTTTTAATGATTAAATAAAAAAATATACAGGGTGTCTCACGGTGAAGGCCCATTAGAATTATTTCAGATTACTTCGATTTGAATTTTGAAATTTTGGGATACTGGGTTTTCGGGCATGCCCTTCTCAACTAAAATAATGGCGTCCACGTACCACTTCCGGTTATACCGGAAGTCGCCATCAACTTGTTTATTTTAAATCGAACACTCTATGCCCTATATATTATTACAATTTTGGATTCTACGTGTTATTTTAGGTGGACTTTTATGAAGTTTCCCTATTCCTAAAATTAATCGTTTTCGAAATATTTAATTTTTTTCAACAAAATGGAGAGAAACAGTGACTAGCTTCAAATCATGTGTATTTTATAGTAAGAAAGATAAAGGAACAATATTTATAGGGGAGATAGCTAGACCCCTAAGCTTCCCATCCATACTTTCAAAGTGGCTTAATTGCATACGGGGTGCTAGAAATTTAATGGAGAATTTAGTTCACTCCAAACCTTCATAAGTCGGTTTTTTTAAATAGAACACCCTGTACGTTTTTTTATATTCTGATACACAATTTTATTCTCTTTCGAACGGTATCAGGGTTCCCTGTACCTATCTCTTCTAGTTCTTAAGTTATCTACTATTTTTTGTGTAATCACCTAAAATAATGTAATTTCTTGCGAGGATAGCTGTGGAATTTTTAGCAAAACTTCAAAACAAACAACTAAACTGTCACTGGGCAACAAATAATTGTTTATAGAGTAAAATGTTGAAAAATAAAAAAAAAATTAAATGGTTATAAAAGTGTAAAAATAGGTATTTTTAGTATTGATCATTGGTTATTATGACAAATATCTCTAAAAAATTGTGTGCCCTTTCTAAACTTTAATTTAAACCCACAGTACGCGATAAACTTTTTGAAATTTTCTTAATTAACAATCCTGTCAATCGAAAATTGCGAGATCGATCGTTGCTAAATTTTTAGGGTAGAATTGACATTGATTCATCAATATTTATAAATATTTACTTATTTAAAAAATTGCTCCAAATATACATATGATTTTCTACTATTCTTCGCCCATTGTTAATGCAAAATTCAACTTTTTTGATTCGTAGTTGTTATAACTCGTCAAATAAACAAAAAATAAATAATAATTGTTTTGTTTTAGGGCTTATTTTCAATGTTACAAGTTAGAATATGTCGAAAAATGAGTAATTTTCGTTCTTTTTGTATGTTTGTTGTTCCCTTGAATTTATCAATGGTTTAGTTTGGACTAGGCAAACTCGGATTTTTATTCTACATAATACTTGGGATTTTTCTGTACAACAAAATAGATGACTTCAAATACAAACGCCTCGAATGCCTACACCTGGACTATAATGATTAATGATAAATGAACTATATACAAAAATAATTATTTAATATGTTTATTTTGTTGATCTTTACAGTATATGAAATACTTGAAATTTTGTTGCCAATCTTTGAGTTTAGTCCCAGGATTCTCTTTCAAGGCATTTAACATATTTAACTCCCTGAGTTTCTTCCAGTCCAACACTAGCGTATTGGTGTTCAAAACTACCATAATCTCATAAATGTTAAACCAATCTTATAAACATTTTCTTATTCGGTACTTATGGGTCGGGATAATCGATCTGATATCGTCTTCTTGCAACAGCACCGTTTTCTCCTGACAAAAAGTAGTCTCTAACCATATCAACTCTTTCTTGATTTGTATAGATGATACACTGTTCCGTCACTAAACAATTAAATAACACTTAAATAAATAACTGTAAGGTTATACAGGTTTGAAATCAACTGGCAGTACCGACTTCTCAGAGGCGGTAATATGGATTTTTAACCAAACAATGGAGACTCCTTTGCCCTTCGTAAGCGTCCGAAACAGAATAGGATTCTGATTAAATTTAAACTGTTCACAGTTTAATATTGTTATTGTTTGCTCGGCAATCATTTTTATTTATTTCTTTTATTACGTACGTTTTTTAAAACGGCAAAAATAATTATTTTAAGACATAAATTAGTTTAGTTAGTAACGTCGCCAAGTGGTGGCGTAAATAAGAATTAATCTGCGGATTAAAAAATTAATTGTAACTCGACTATTGTTTAATAAAAATACAAACAGTTTCTGATTCGTATTCAGGAGAACATGTAGGTACTATTGGGCTTAAAAACTGATCCCCACTTAATGGTACACCCTGTATAATATTTATTGAAGATATCTCGCTCTGTCTATCGTGTTTATCAAACCTAACCGCCGACTGTTGCGAACAGGCGTAGAAATCTACATTGTTTTTCGTCGGCCGAAAATACCAAATGATAGATAATTCTGGTGTGTTTATCTAGCGTACTTGGCCAGTGGTACCTCTTTTTTATAAATTGTAAAGTCGTAAATTTTCTATTTTGGATCTGGCAACATTTGCCAGTGGTGTTAATTTACCTTAAAGTAATATCGAAAGTAAAAATATACATTGAAACAGAACATCAATGAGTGGATCTTTAAAAAATATATAAGAATGAAAAGAAAAAGAAAGTTAATTGTAGCATTTTAACTTTCTTTGTCCAACGGACGTCATATACAGGGTGTATCACGAAGAGGCCCCAGTATGATTATCTCAGAAAGTAGTCAGAATTGAAATCTGAAAATCTGTATACAGGTGTATATCAAAAAGATCTATTCAATGAAAATAGTGTCAACTTCCTCGCATTTCCGGTAACACTCTGTATATTTATGCATTTTCTAATTCTACGGCAAATTCTAGACTATTTTCATATAAAGACACTATTTTCATTGAATAGATCTTTTTGATAAACCCCTGTATACAAATTTTCAAATTTCAATTTTGACTACTTTTTGAGATAATCAAAATGGGCCTTTTTCGTGATACACCCTGTATATTGTTTCTATCTATCCTTCAGCTAGTGGATGATACAGGTGCTCATCGAAAGTAACGGATTTTTGTAAAATTATCGAGAAAAATATTTCAGAATGTCTTCAGAAATGTCAATTTTTATTTTTAAATTATTTAGAACCTTTTGTAATATCTTGATTGATTATACTGAATCCAATGAAAAAAAGTTTTTCAAACTTAACAAATATATTTATCAGAATATAAAATACGTTGCATGAAAAAGTATAAAAAAGTGTAAGGTATGAAAAAGCGTACTTTGCTATTTGTATTTCTATTTTAGGGTTGCTAGCGCATGGGGGTTGAAGGGTGCATTGTTGAAAATTACACCCTTAAATGATTTAAAATAAAAATCGAGGTGCTCAAACATTTTTTAAAAATGTTTTTCTAAACGATTTTTTAGAATTAATCCATTACTTTCTTTCATTACACTGTATAAGTGTATAACTATATGTGTATAATAACTGTGTCGTCCGTATAAGCTGTAATCTTTGTTAGTACAAAATGAAAACCTTCGTAAGTGTGTTTGGTTTAATGCCACTGTAGCATAAAACTGGCATTATAATAAAACTAATACTCATTACAAGTTTTATTAGGTCTTGGTACACGCACTATATGTGCCTTAATGGCTGTAAGCCACATAAAACACATAGTTTGCGACTAAATCGTTTGCCATAATAATACAATGAGTGGAATTATGATTATCGATAATCGGCGAAGTTGTAAATGTTCAAGGAATCGGTAGTGTACCGCTAGATGTTAGAAAAATATGTAAGAATCTAATAATGTCTAGGACAAACTTTCAAGGTGTAACAAATGTTGAACCGCCACCGCTGGGCGCAGGTTTAGTTCGACCGGAGTTATTTTGATGTGTTGGACCTTTCTGTGTCGAATAGAAGTGGTCAGGGATTATGGGAAAGAATACAAAATGAAATTAATGTTATGAGAGGTAATGCACAATTATTGGATAAAATTCGTTTTAATTTCCTAAGAAGGAAATTAATGTCTGCGTTCAAAAACAAGGAAGGCACTTTGAGTATTTTCTATAAAATTATTTTAATGTGATTACAAATATCAATTTAGATTTATTTAAAATGTTAATGTTGACTTTCTTGTATTATTAGTTGATATTGATTATTTAAAATACTGGTATTGATTTTTTATTTTATTGATTGATAATACTAAGATTAAAAATGTGTAGTTAATTTAGTATTTTTAATGTGAAAATTTTTTCATTATTATTCACTGCTTTGAGGCTGCAAAATGTATTTATTTGTTTTTTAATTCGAATTTTTAATTTGTACCATTAATTATAACCGGCCCTGATTTAGTACGATAGTTTTTGGTTATACTTTATCAAAAAAGCGGTTGCCGTAGAGGAATTAATGATCTTATCGAAAAAAATAAGACTCAATTCCAAAATACGATTAATTGTTTATAAACTTTTGCATTAACCATAATTTTCAGACGGCATAGTTGTTAAGAATTATTTGGAGAGTTAAATAATCATGTGAAATCGATGTTGTACATTTTTCAATGACTTGAAATAATGGGGGCTAAAATAGAGGGTTGAGCCCTGCATTCCTGACCCAGGTATCAGCAAATACGTACGGCGTCACTAAAAAAGTTATCTACGTATCAATCCGAAACTTGCAGTATAAATGCCGTACTGTAGTAAATCACCAAAAACCGGGCCAAAATATTCAGAAAATCAAAAATTTTCCTGGCTTCCGGTACTGCTATTTTTGTACGGCATTAGGTCAAAGTTCATTTTTTTTGTACAACCTATATACTTTAGAAATGCCGTACAAAAATGTTTTGCCGAAATCCACCCCCCTTGGTGGACAGGTTTAGTTTACCTGTGTACTCAATTGTACCAACAAGAATTGACGTCATAGTTTCTAAAGTTATTGTTGTATGTGGTAGTATTGATTTATAAGTAATTCATGCTGGGTCAAATGACCCCTTGAAAATTTCCGATGGACTTGTAGTCTATATGTCATATTGACAGAATATAAAATTATCTGTTATCATTCGGTTTGTATTATAACGAGCGTTCAAATAAAAACGTGGTCGAAGTTGGCTCTGACACATTGGACGTAGGGAGTAGCTTATAGCGACCAACTTAACCTCATTTCTCAACGAGCTGTATAGCAGCTGTCAGTTTCAATAACGTTAATGACTATATAACTTTATTTTAAAGAATAATCGTGATAACAATAACAAACAATTAAAGGAGCTGCGGAAAGTGTCCCCCTCCTTGTTATAACAATAAATTAAAGCAGCTGCTGAAAGTGTCCCCCTCCTTGTTCCAAGCACTTTTCACACCTGTTCCTCAAAGAATTAAAGACATTTTCTAAGATGCTCGGGGTATTGTTAATTTCACGAATCTTGTCTATAAGTCGAGCCTGCAGATGGTTTAAATCAGGAATAGGCAGTTCAAAAATAGTGTTTTTAAGGTAAGGCCACAAAAAGAAATCACACGGCGTAATATCACATGACCTCGGTGGAAATTCATGTTCAGCATTGAGACTTATTAGTCGATTTTGGAAAACTTCCCTCAACATATTCATCGTCTCGCCTGCCGTATGTGCCCTTGCGCCATCTTGTTGAAAGTAAAAGTTTGTAATTTCGTTTTCTTCCAGCTGGTTAACAAAAGGAGCGATAATTTCTTCTCTATACCTTTGCGCAGTAAGAGTACCATTAAAAAAAATAGGTCCATAAATCCTCCTTCGATTGAGAGCACACCAAACTCCAATTTTTTGAGCGTGTAGAGGGCCCTCGACAAAAAAGTTATCTGGTTTTTCAGAAGACCACATTCTCATATTCTGTGAGTTTACGTAACCACTTAAATGAAACCAGGCTTCATCAGAAAAAAAGGTGATATTATGAAGTTCACCGTAGTTGTTTAAAAACCATTCACAAAATACAGCCCGTCGCGGAAAATCAACTTCATGAAGTTCTTGCTGACAAGTTAAACGATAGGAGAACAAACGCAAATCTTTTTTTAACACTGTGTGGCAGGTACCGACTGATACTCCCACCATTTGTGATAAAACACGTACAGAAGTTCTTGGCGCATTTTCCATTATTTGTTGGACATTTTCTTTTAATTCTTCAGTCCGCTTTTTAGGTCGGCCGCTTCCTTCTTTTCTTGTTACACTGCCCGTTTCACGAAAAACATTAACACAACGCTGAACTGCACTTTGAAAAATTTTGTACTCAACAACGCCGGGAAATTGATTTTGAAATTCTATGAAACATTCCTCAATAGAATACTTCCATATTCCATCAATCTTGCGTCCATTTCTAAAGTAGGACTCTATGATAAACACTTTTTGTTCTTGAGAAAACACCATTTTAAACGCTTTTTAAAACGAAAATATTCAAATTGATAGCGGCGATATAGCGCTTTGACAGATGACGTTTAAGTTCATTTGCTATACGCTACGCCCTACGTCCAAATTTTCAGAACCAACTTGACCACATTTTTATTTGAACGCTCGTTATCATAATTATCTTGTAAGCTATATTAGATAATTGTAGGAAAAAGTTGGATGGAAATAATGAATAGTTAAAAGATATAGATACCTGGTTGTCCAAGAATTTTTGGACGTCTTGTTACTGTAGAGGCAGTTGTAGCGTTATCATCTCGGTGGTAACGGTTGTAGGCGTTCCACAAAGAACTAATACGAAGCAGAAAAGAAACATTTTGTTTGAAGATCAGATTATTTGTCCCGGGTGAGAATATGGGTACCAAATGTTGTATAGTTCACCAATGATTTTATAAGCTACGTATATCTAATGGTTTGACATAAGACAGAGTGCTTCACCCACCAGGAGGTTATGTAAACTTTTATAACTGCAATTGTTCACTGCCAAAACTAATTGGGCAAAAAAAAACACCTTTATATTATTTATATTTATTTATCATAGTTGTAATATACAAAAAATTAACCAACAAAAACGGGTTCAACATAATATTATCACAAAGTGCTCTCGAAACGCGCACGCCGCTTAGACGTGGAGGAAGAGGACGACCCCTAAAACAGGCAAGGCCATAGACGCGACGTTTCGGACCGCCCAGGAACACGCCGTCAGACCGTCGCCCACGCAAGAGGCATACGCCATGATGTGGGGGATGGTGTTCTGCTCCACGACGCCCCTGAAGAGGTGGGCCCACGGGCCTCTGGCGAAGATGCCGACGTCGTCAGCGCCGTGTGTCTCGGAGTTCTTGTAGGTGACCGCTGGGAACCTGTACTCGTCGTCAGCTGGAAAAAAATCAGTAATTTACAGCTCTCCCCGAGGCAACATGTAAACATTGAAAATTCACTCACTTGTATCGTCAGTGCTGTAATCGTGACTGGCATTGACCGGCGCAGGTCCATTGGCGTAGTTGAGGGTCAGCCTGGTTCCACCATTGCTATCCGTACCAGCTATTCCCAGAATGGAGTTGGCTCTGTCGGGGTACCCAGACATCGACATGGTATGCGCGTGGTCAGCAGTCACCACGATCAGAGTGTCTTCCTCACTTGTCAGGTCCAGCGCCTTCTGGATAGCCTTGGAAAATTCCACGGTTTCGTCCAAAGCCTTCTTGGCCCAGGTGTCGTGGTGGGCGTGGTCGATCCTGCCGCCCTCTATGAAGAGGAAGTAACCGTTGTCGGCGCCGTTGCCTTTGCTGGCTATGTTGATCGCCACTTCCGTCATTTCTTCCAGGGATGGGGTTACGGAGTCGTTGCGGTCGAGGTTGTACGGTACGTAGCTGCTGCCGAAGAGCCCTGGAGAGGATTTAGTCGTTTACTCGGGGTGTTTTCCTTTAACTTGACATAGGAGTCGTCAAAGTGAACAAATAACATTTTTTCAAAATCTCAAAAGCAGCGCGTTTTTGAAATAATTACTGTGCAAACTATGTCACCAAAACGCTGTCATAGCGCAATCGAAAATAGAGCGTTTTTTCTTTGAGATTTCGTGTTTTGACTTTTTCTAGTTCTATGTCGTTTTAAAAGCAAAATTCCACATAAAAATATTCTCTATTTTATACAGAGTGTTAATGATAAGTTTTGGCAAACTTTAATGGCGTATTCTACCGATGAAAATAATCAACTTTTGTCCTATAAACATTTTTGACAGGACGCTTCCCTGCGGAGATACAGGGTGTTAAAAGTTTCAAATATTTATGATTTTTCCTGTAACTCAAAAAAAAATATATATATTTAGTGATAAAATTTGGGGGATGACATTTTTTTAGTAGGGACTATTTTTTTTCCATGGATAACTTATTCCAAAATACATAGTTATTGGGAGAGTATCGGACCTTTTTTGAAAGAAAATAACTTTAAATGTTTTTAAAATGTACAGTAAATTTGTGGCAATAAAGTATTCCTGTAAAGTATTCGTAAAATTTACTGGTCTTTAGATAATTGTGAAATCAAATAGGATGATGCTTGATCAATACCTAGCATTTTTGAGAGATTTTAAAACAATACAACGCCACTGTTTTGTGTGTTGCAAAATGTTTGTTATTTTTCATTCAACTAAAAACAGATTTTATTTTAAAAAAATATGGTATTCAATTCATTTCAACTGTACCAGTAGGTGGCAAGTTGCTGCTAGGAAACAGTCATAATTTTAAAACTGTCACACATTTTTGTCGCGTTTCTCTGCTAGTTATGGTCCGTTATACAAATATTGAATTAGCATATATACATTTTACATACGGTAGAGCGAATGGCAATGCTAGACAAGCTGAACGACTTTATAGACAGTCTTTTCCAAATCGACGTTGTCTAACAAGGAATACTTTTTCAAACGTTCACCGTCTAGCTCGTGAAATTGCATGTTTGTCGCTACCAAAACGTCGATCAAGAGAAAGACCTGTTCGTACAAAATTTTGGTATCTGTAGATGAAGACCCATCTACCAGATAGATATCATGAGCCTTTACATGAGCAGCAATTACGCTCATATGTGTAATTGTATTATATGTATATACAGGTTCGGAAAGTCCCCATGGTACATCGGCCGTTACATGAGAGCGATAAAGAAAGTCATAGAAATCCGTGCGACAGAGAAAGATGGCTATAATGAAGGCGTCTAATAGTCACCGCCCATTTCGCCCTTCCACAAATAAGAAGTGGATCTTATTCTCATTATAGCCATCCTTTTCTATCGCATGGATTTCTATGTCTTACTTTATCGGTCTCGCGTAACGGCAGATGGACCATCGGTACTTTCCGAACCTGTAGATAGATTTATTTTTCAGCGACGTGACATCCTTGTAAATAAAGACGGACTGCAATTAGAATTGCAAAAAATCTCATGAAAATTTGAAGTTTTCCATTGGTATACACCGTTCACAGTATGTAATATGATCTATAAATGAATTTTGAGCTTACCAATTTAATACGGAATCGAGTCAATTAATAGTAAGTACAACGACTATCCCTTAATAAATAAAAGAACAACAATT